TTCAGTGTGATAGTTGAGAGGCAAGATTTTATTGCTCTCATTATGTTGAGTTCTTTTTGGTTTTGTAGTTTAATATATTCTTCTTCAGTAGATTGCTGGGTTAGATAGAGGAGGGTAATATTACTGTTTTCTGCTCTGTGAAAAAGAAAATCACATAACTATCACACCAAATTTGTACTCACCAACACATCTCTGAGGGCTTTGCATCCTTTTTGTTTTCTGGGGTCTCCCCACCAAAACACCAATTAAAAAAACACCAATGATTTAGCAAATAACCTCTGACAAAATATAATATGATGAAAATTGGTCTCCCAGATTTTGTTTATGTTGTTTTCCTTTTTTATATGTTCCCCTGTACATATGGCTTTTTACAGTGTTGACAATAAACACTTCCCAGAGACATTGAGTAACTCCAGCTGGGAGTTCTGGTAGCCTAGAGAAGACAGAGTTATTTTGCCAACCCAGAGGCAGGCAGTTTGATTCCACCAGTTTCTCTATGCAAGAAAAATGGACAATTTTCTTCCTCTGTTATTTACAGTCTCTGAAAACCCACTAGAGGGTCAACTATGAGTAGTTCTGAATCAATACCACCCAAGAACAGGGACATTGACAGTGTGAACAAGCCGAAAAAGACTGGGAACAGAATCACATCCCCAAGACAGATTTGGAGTTCAGACTGTCAGTAGTATCTAGAGTAACAGGGTACCTTGCTTTGTCTTCCTTTATAGCATATCACACCATAGTCTTACTCTGTGTTAGGAAATATAACTGAATGCTATGAACAACATATATTAATATTTACTGAAATGAGAATATCTTTGAAATCTTGAATTAAATATACATGTTTTATTTTTTATTTTTTTATTATTATTAAATTTTATTAGTTTCAATGAACATTCACAGGGATTCTGGGCTTTCACTCCTTCATTGCCGCACCATTCTCTCCACCCTCCTCCCCAGTTTGTTCTTCTTCCCTGCCATCCGAATGTCTGTTTTAATTGTCCAATTGCCACAGTGCTTGTCAAA